CTTAACCTCCATGTGCGGGGTTTGTATGTTTATCCCTGTGCTTGGGTGTGGTTTTTTTCCAGGCACTCCGGCTCTCTCCCGCATTCTTAAAAACGTGTGTTAGTTTTCACTGATCACACTAAATTATCCATAGGTTGAATGTGATTGACTGGGAACTAGTCGAGCATGTACACCACCACCTCTCGCCCAAAGTAAGCTGGTATAGGCTGCAGCTCACCGACAATTGTACCCTGATGAACACAAGAACCATAGAAAATGGATGGATGGATTCTTCAAAGTGCAGTTTTACTCAATAAACTACAACTGCAATAATTAGCATCATTAAATACCTGCCAAAGCCCCAACCACTATACAATGTGAGATCATCATGTGCGCCATGGGAAATTATCCAATTTCATTTCATTTGTCCAAAAATGATCAATTATATGACTAAGAATGCATCTTATCCAATTTCATTTAATTTGTCCAAAAAATTATCAATTATACGACTTAGAATGCATCTTTGTTCATCTTTTTATGCCTGCGATGTATAACGACAGGCAGAAAAATGAGATGCTTTTCAGCTGGAGTACAGAAGGGATATAAGTAACTGTATCCACATTCTGTCATTCATACAACAGAATAATAGCTTGGTGTTCAATTAAACAGGCTCAGATGTCACACCTAGTGAGACTGAAACAAGCGCATTTACTTTTTGCGTTCAATTTTTGGTTTGTTTGATGGTGTGCCATGAGATTTTTCTTAAGTTAAATACTGTATGTACCTTGGCTAGGTACAGCTTTGAGTGTTTAAGTTACACCCCCCCCCCCCCCCCCGTGACGCCCCCAACTGATGATATGCACGACAGAGGTGATATGAGTTACTATGATTCCACAAAAAATACAAATAAAAAAACAAACAAACAAAAACAGGATGATGAATGACAGTAAGGAACAAAGAAATTACCACACGCTTTGTCAGACTGCTCGGGTTGGGCTGATGTTATCCAACCTGGTAATTGTGTTTTCTCTCCAATGGCTCGAGTTGTGTTCTTCATTCGCCAGGACTTAACACAGGTGATTCTACAAGAGAGGATCCCACCTTTCAATTGGCCGACCTATTGACTGTGCCCGCTGTGCAGTCGCGGGGGTCACTGGGTACAACCTTTGGCCATCCCCCCCGTAACCTAATACAAGTGATTCCTGTTCCCTTCGGGAGGCATTAGAAATCACAACCTGTTTCTATGTTCCATTTAGTGGATGTATTCGGGAAATTGTCTATGACAAAAAGCCCAGCTGGGATATATTAGAATCTAAACTAAAATCAACCTAATGTTTTATTATAGACTGACTCAAGTTTAGTCTGTGATAGCCACAAACTATATGCAAGGATCAAGGGAGCGGCAGCATTTAGTAGTCAGTCACCAGACACTTCATTAGGTTCGCACACTTCAAAAAACGTCTTACACATCATAAATTTAACTTTTGTTTTGCACAGCAACAGCAAGGATTCAAAGGACGCATTAATGCACCAGGATTATACCTTTGGCTACAATGAGATGCAAGATTCTAGTTAAGGTAAGATGTTTTAAGACAAACTTTAACAAAAACGTATAACAGTTATTAGCTAACGTTTTATTGCCTTCGTTTGCTGTTGGCTGCGGAGTACTGCGCTGGGGTTAAAGTGAACTTCCGAACAAGACCCTAATGTTCATGGTCTTGTTTGTTATTTAAAAAAAAAAAAGCCTTAAAAAAAGATATAGATATTGAAAACATTATTATTGACTGGGCCAATTTAGAAAGAATAAAAATAGCAAGAAAACCCCCCAAATAGCAAGGTAAAACTGCGAAAAATGAAGTGATTTGAAGATATGGTCACAAATGAAAAGCCGCAGTAACCAAACCGCGAAGTAGCGAGGGAAAACTGTATATCCGCTTCATTCAAAGGCTTTCCGGGCACCCATATAAGAGTTGTGTCAAAATCGCTGCCTTGACATCAATAATATTCCTGTATTGAATGACACAGGAGGAAAGGCATTTAGTTAACTGGTACGCCAATTAGGATCCCTGCCAAGAAGGTTATGTATTCATAAAATCACATAACAGTACCGATTCACCATGAAATGTTTCTGAGCGCTGGGACATGGCACACAGAAGAATCTCTTAAATTTTGGTGAGGTTAAAGAACAAAATGACAAGATCAAGTTTTTAGATTTCTGTTTGATTTCCTTCATTTTTACTGAATAGTTTGATCATGTCAAGTTTTGTCAATATTTTGCTGGTTCTACTTGAGTTTTTTCAGCCCCGATGGAGGTCGGCACCCTAGTGAGGCACATTGAATGATTTCATTGACTGTTGTGACAGATGCATACTTTACTTGAAATACTTGAAAATAGGTTTCAGTACATATGAATTTTTTTTTTTTTTTTTTTTTTGCTGAGCAGACAGGGCTGTGAAAATACATTCATATATACCACCTCTGCCCTGTTTTCAATTTCTATCACCTGTAACCCTTTTTAAAAGTGTTCTCTGTTGTTTGGATTTAATTTACTGTGTTGGTTTATTCAGACGATCCGCTCCAAAGGTTGAGCAGTACTACACCTCAAACAGGTTGTTGAATGATTTTATCTGTAAACAGCGTGTTTAAACTACTCTAATCCTTATAAGGTAAACACACTGGGTTTATTCTTATCTGCCGCATAGAGTGAACCTATTGACTGACTGGAAGGCGGACATCTTCATGTCATCAAGTTTGTCTGATCCCAATATAAAACTCAGTATGCTCATGTCCATTCTGCGCGGTGTGTAGTGAAATGTAATTTTGATTTACACTCACTGGAACATTACTGCAATGCTGGGGATGTTAAATGGGGAACTCTCTACTGTCCCCGTCTGTCACCTGAAGAGTTGCATGAGTTATCTTCCACCACTGTGGCAGATAACATGACCGTGTCCTTGTAAGTTGTCAAGCATTAACCTATAAAAACATATTTGAATCCTGCGCAGTACGGGTTTTGGTGTGTGTTGTAATTTATAGCTATGATGGTAAAAAAAACCACATATACATATATACACATATATACACACACACACACACACACACACACATATATATATATATATATATATATATATATATATATATATATATATATATATATATATATATATATATATATATATATATATATATATATATATATATATATATATATATATATATATGTGTGTGTGTGTGTGTGTATATATAGAGAGATTTTGGATTTGCGTCTTGATGTGGTTGAGGCAAAATGGGCCGCATTATTAAGTATGAGTCATCCCTTGAGCAGAAAGTGTTGTTGCTTCCATTAAAAGGTAAAAACGAAACCCCACGGTACACTGTTCTTAATCAAAGTAGCAGTTGTTATATATACTGAAGTTCAAAGCTGTCACGTTTGCTCTTGAACTTGGAACTTTGCGACGCCGGCTTTCTAGCACGAGTTCAGGTTGCTAGTTGAAAGCTTTAAATACTCCGGGGCACACATGTAACCAGACACCGATGTCTTGAGCTCTTAACCAAGCAAGGTGTGGTTTTAACCTCAATACAGTTAAAGAATGTAGGCCGATACGGGTGGCTTCACTTTACACCATGAGGAGTTGACGCTGCGTGCGGCAGTCTGTCGTGGTCTTGAGGTGCTCTACCCATTCATAGAGACATGCTGTCAATTAGTAATCTATTGGGTGTCTTAAAGGTTGTACAAATTAGGAAGCTGATGAGAAATATGCCAAAAGAGGGGGACTCGGATTTGGATCACTTGATTGTGTAGTTGCATCACGGCAGCTCAGGAGGGTCTGGGCCAATATTCAAACCCAGGACCTCTGAACTGTGAGGCAGATATACTAACCACTAATCCCACTGTGAGCTAGAGAGTGTCAGGTTTACAAGCCCTCTTTTGATCTTATAAAATTAAGAGAACATATCGTGATTCACTTTTGCCAGTATTTACTTGTCACTTAAACCAGTATTTACATGTCACTTAAATTGATTATGATTCACTTTTGCCAGTATTTACTTGTCACTTAAATTGATTCAAGGTTTTATGATGGCAGCTATTTTGAAACTGAAAAAGATTAATTCTATATGCATTCATTTAAGAAAATTGGTTTTGAAACGAGAAGGATTTGGAAGTAAACCAGCATCACAAAGTCTGTTGCGGTTGATTTTGAAGTTCTGTTGCGAGGAAAAAAGTGTTTGTTAGCAGAGGGACTTGGGAAGCCACCCAAAGCCTGGAAATGGATGCAAATTCTATAATTTATGAGTGTCTCAAGAAACTTGATGCCGAGGAGCCCTTGAGTGTTTTTTTTTTTTCCCGGAATATTTGGGAACAGACTCTGGAACTTGTCTCACTGTGTGAGCTCATTAATCAAGTCTAAATCCTTTTTGAGATAAGATTGGCACAGTTGATTATTACATCTGCTCTGTGCTTTAATTGTGTCCGTGCTCTTCTATTTCCTCCATCTCTCTTCCTTTACATGACTTGTTAAACACTGAAAATTGTGACTTTGTCTTACGTTCCACTATTGTGTTCCTCTTTGTGGGTCTCATTACGATAATTAGCTTGTAATGAGCATTTTTGCTCGAGATCACACTTAGACATCACTGAGCGAACCGTAAATGCAAATAAGTTGCGATTACCTTAAGTCAGTTTATCGATCGGTAAGCAAAAGACCACATAACAGGCGCCGACTTCATACTGTCGAAGCATATGAGGAGCATATGAGGAAAGTGATTGTTCGGTGGTTTTTCTTTGCAAGGTTGTAATATGAAGTGTCTGCTTTACACATTTTTCTAGGTCAGGGCAGCTCCTCTATGTGCACAAAAAATGTTACTGTTGAACTGAAAATAGTGTGGCTCCTGTTATAGTACTGATGATGATCCCCAAGACTGTTTTTTTTTTTCTTTCAGTGGCTAAATTGAAAGGTAGAATTGACACCATATGTCATTTCCAGGATGATGGGATCTTTTACCATCTGTGTTCACAGAATTCGGCCTTTGTTTGGCTGCCGGAGTGCATTCGTTTTGTGTGAAGGTGCGCTCAGATGAGGTCTGCACGGATGAGACTAGAGAAAGGGCCTGGATGGGAAAGAGCGTGATTATGGACAACCTTTTGGACTTTGGAGGCCCCTGTCCTTCCAGCCGCAGAGACTGGGAGTAAGTATGAAAACACGCTTCCTTTCAATTTGTGATCTTTGGTCCACTCTCAGTTTGAATCAAAACATCTAACATTGTTCTAATAGCTCTGCAACATTGATCTAAAGATTTAGAATTAGGCGAGAGGAACATCTTACATCATCTATTTTAACTGGGTACTGGTACTACTTTCGGGTCTCTGATAGAATGAAAGCTACAGTATATGGAGCGAGCGTGTAAGCTTGTACCGAGACTGTATGTGATTAAAACCCAAATTAAGCTTTATTACCACAGTCACATCGTCGCAGCACAATAACGGTAAACATACTGTATATATATATTATAGAAGAACTAAAACGTTTAGACAGCACATGAATATATTTAGCTCCCAGGATTTTTATGACCTAACCAACTGCCATGTTGTATTTTAAACACGAGCATGCAGTTCAATAATGTGACGGGCTGGCTCATCATAATAGAAATAAACTGTGCTGTTGCTAGGTAACAGATAATCTTTTTTTTTTTTTTTGACAAGACTGTGAAGCTTTGTGCATTGTTGGAGGATCATTAAAGAAAGTGCATTTGTGTTTGGACACATTTCTTTCTAGTTCCAGCAGCTGCATGGATGATTTGATGGATGAAGATGAGAAAGACAGGGCAAAAAGGTACTCCAGACATATTTACGCTTTGCATTCACATTTCTGATTGTATGACTTTTGAAATGTTGATGACTTCACTGTTGCAGAAATTTGAGAAATCATTTTCGGTGCAATTTCTCCAAAATGCCTCCCTAACCGTGTTGGCAGAAAAATGGTGTTTTGAAAATGTGCTTGTAATAAGAATGGATCTTTGCAGGGTGTTGACCTCACTTGAAAAACAGCATAGCGACATGTCAAATAAACAGCTCAACTCAATGGGGAAACTCACTAGTCACATCGATAAGACTACCCGGTACTTTGGCTCAAAAAGATTTGCAGTCTTTTGTCTCGTAAACATTGCCTCCAACCAACATCTACATAATTAAACAAATACTCCACCGTGACAATATCTGGCGCTCTGACCAGATTGAGAAAGTGGATAATTTCGTTCAATACAGAATTGAAAAAAAAAATGAGGTGAAGTGTCATATTTTTGCAGCCTGCTTTGTAGCTTATGAAAAAACAGCACGAGACATTATGAACAAACATGCTGAGGTGGTGGGGACATCTCCATTGCGAGACAGTGAAAATAGTGCTATTTTTAATTTAGTTTCAATTTGTTTTATCTGGGATTGTATCAAAATGTCACGGATTCTTCCTTCTCCAAAACCTTTCGCTGTGCTAGTGGTCTCAAAACGTTGCTCTTGCCTTCTTCTGGAAACTGACTGACCTTGTCTTGACCGCTTCAGGGCATCCCGAAACAAATCAGAAAAGAAAAGAAGAGACCAGTTCAATGTGCTCATCAAGGAGCTATGCACCATGCTGCAAGGCCAAGGCCATCCTCGCAAGATGGACAAGTCCACCATACTACAAAGAACCATCGACTTCTTACAGAAACAAAAAGGTAGGGCCGACCCACGCAATTCTTGTTTGTTTTCCCTTAGTTACCGTCGATAGCGACGGTACCTCGTCATTCACTAAGGTCTTACTGAAACTGTGCTTGCTGTGCAGACATCAGTGCTCAGAATGAAACGTGTGACGTGAGACAAGACTGGAAGCCTTCATTCCTCAGCAACGAGGAGTTCACCCAGCTCATGCTCGAGGTAAAAAAAAAAAGCAAGAAGATGCACTACACTGACATCCTCTCATCCAGATGTTTTCAATACGGAAAACTGGGCAAGGATCGGCTAGCCGGCACTTCATCTGCTGTAGCATGAATACGGTCCAGACCCTCTCATTGCGTCTGCTGACAATAAATCAGTCACCAAATTTGCTGTTTAACTGTTCTATTGTTTTCTTTTACAGGCACTGGATGGTTTCTTGATAGCATTAACTACAGATGGAAACATCATATACGTGTCGGATAGTGTGTCTTCACTTATTGGACACTTGCCGGTGAGTGTAAAAGCATAGAGGAGATGCATGTCTTCTTGCTGCTTTGACTGTAAAGCTGTACTACCGTATCACTTCAGCTAGGTTCACACTGCATCTCAATTCATTTTTTTTTTTGCCCGGCTGCAACACATATCGAATTTTTTCATGCAGTGTGAAAAGTACAATTCAGATTTTTTTCCCCAAACATGACCTGGGGCTATTTCGTGTATTTATATAAATCGGATATGTATCCAATGCGTATGAACGCTCATCTGTCGATATCCGACCTATATGTCACCAAAATCTGCAAAGTTGCTTTGAGTGTTTTCTTGATATTTGACTTTAATTGAATTCCACTTGAAACATGGAGCATTGCCGTAAATTGACATATGTGGCAATTTATTATGCGCGGCAATGACATGATGTCAACTTTACATAGATGTCTCACTTAATTAAGAAGATCGAAAAGCCTCGTTTCATTTCCCCAAAATATTTCTACCTCCTCCCGTCTTACGCCTCTAATGATATGAGATGATGAGTAGAACCATATTTACTTCTGTAAACACTGTTTTGTTTGCCTGTCACATCACGGACGCTTTGCATTCACATTACAAGTCGCATTTGTTTTTGTATTGCGAACGAGTACATTAAAAAGGATTTAGCAAAAAATCTGAATTGTGCATGGTGCCCTGCAGTGTGAACATAGCCTTTGTAACAAACCCATTAAATTCTTAACACTGAATTGCATCTATTTACTGTTTGGGGACAGTTTTTTTGTGACCATAATGGATTTGAAATAAAACAAGGTGGGATTCAAGTGGAGGCTTTCAGGAAGCCTTAAGAGGCTTCACAAAAGCATTTGATTTGTACCATTAATGACAATGTACTCTTTGCAGTCTATGACTGTTTATATTTTGGAGCCCACATACCTAGCCAACCTCGTAGAGATGGTTGCCAGGCCTTCACTCGCTACCACCTTCAGCTGCAGCTCCTTTGTGGGTCTTACTACCTTCACGTTTATGCTCAGTAAGCGAAACATGGCTTACTGTTCGACAACTTTGACGTGTAAGAGGACAATAGTATTTTGAAGAAGATAGGTATGCCATTGTCAAACTGTAAATACAGACACTTTACAACACCATTCGAGAACAAGAATGTCAGATTAAATTCACTGGAAAAGTCCTCTGTTTACCAGAATCAGATTCTTTGGACAGATGAAACCAAGAGCAAAGTCTATCAGAATGATGGAAACATTTCACAGCTCAAATCCAAAACGTACACAACATCTTGTGTTAAAAATGGTGGAGTTCAAGTTATTGTATGGATGGATATCACCGCTAATGGATTAGGCTCTCATCGAGACTATATTCTCTGCTGGCATGCAGCCAAATGCTATAAAACTGAGAGGAGGGTGCTTCACAGTGCAGGTTAATGGCCTTGGACATACTTTGAAAGCAACCTTTTTACAGGGAAAAAGGACTCTTGCTCAATGGCCAATTCTGACATGAAGCTAATACAGCTTGCGTTTCACTCGCTGAAGGCAAAAGGCAGCAAGAACCACAAGCAGCGAGTGAATGTGGCCACAGCGAAGGCATGGCAGAGTGTTAACGTTTCTTGTTTCCTTCCTCTCGGTGTGATACTATTGTCCATCATGTTTCCTCGTGTTTACTTTGATTCCTTCTTTTGTGGAAGCCTGACCATTCTTTATCTATCCTATTGCATCAGTCAGATATGGTGGACCAAAATATCTTAAATTTCCTCCCGGAGCTAGAACACGGAGAGGTGTATAAGCTGCTATCATCTCACATGCTGATGACTGACCCCATTGCTGCTGACTTCCTGACCAGTGAGTCGCCTCTTTGCACTTTGTCTGCCCCCTCACAGTTCAGGGCAATTTGTGTGTGCTTCACCAGGTCAGCACAAGTTAAAAATACATGGCAGATGAGTACAGTCAAATCAGTCCGGTCTGGAGGATCTATTTAAACAAGTGAAGAAGCAGGTTGTGGAATTGGGGTCGGTAGTTTATTGGATTGCTGATTGGTGTCTAAAATTAGCCGTTTAGCTAATAATAGTCACATGCTTAGTATCATAGTTTAGACTTTTAATCACTGTTATGTTAACACAGTAATCCCTCAGCAATGAACTACCCAAGGACAAGGCTCTGACCTTAATCCTGCATTACTATTGGGTTTTTCACAGAAATAGAGATGTGACTAGCTAAGCCTAAAAACAGTTACAGAACCATGCGTCATGGACCCAACGCACATCAAAAGCTGCTCCAAATTACCGGGAAACCTTTGATGATGATGCATTTTCTTTGGGTTATTTTATTTATTTTATTAACCATAAAATTATCTACCCTTACTGTTGTGCAGTAAATGTTTATGGAAATGTGGTCAAAGTCCTGTTGTACGACATGAGTCAAAACTGGACTCTGACCAAAGATAATCATAAGAAAATGCCTTCTCTCACACGATTTAAGAAACGTAAACACTCATATTTTAAGTAATAATATTACTTAATATCGTACAATGTTTGTAGCCCAGCTTTCACCCTTTCCTCTCTAGGCAGTTGCACATACAAACACGCCTAACGCTGATTTGTTTTGGACTAGCCATTCTGTCAACACCGAATTAAATTTAAGATGCTGTATTTAGGTGAGGCACATGTGGAATTTTGCTGTCACCTTGCCCGAGGGAACATCGATCCAAAAGAGCCGCCTGTGTACGAGTATGTCAAGTTTGTCGGAGATTTCAAGTTTCATAACAATGGTGAGCTCCGCATTTTATTAACACAACGAATCAAGTAACTTTCCATGACAGAAATCGGACTGTTATTTCTCGTAGTGCCTACGTCCTCTTGTAATGAGGTTGAATTGACGTTACCAAGAAGCCTGCAGACGTCGCTGGAGGAGCAGGTCTGCCTCATTGCCACTGTGCGATTAGTCACGCCGCAGTTTCTCAAGGTGAGACTTCCTGCTTGTTGTGTTGCGCATTCATCTGTTTTAGCATTATTTAGCGAGTGAGGCCGAAGCATCCCAAATTGTGGCAGTTAACTTTGCTGAGGCTTTTCTGAACAAAACCTTGAGACTCAGTAGTACCTTGCACCTTGCAATTTACATTGATGCTTTGTATTGTTGCTCATTGAGTTACAAAAATATTACCGTAACAGATTACTTCGACATCCACGAAGTTTTATTTTATTTTTTTTCCTTCGTCAAGTAAGAAAAGCTCATAGCCTTTCATAGAAAGTCTTAGGCTTGCTGCGATGCTTGAGTAAACATTGCTCGTTGTGAAGTCATTGAGGTGACTTTCCCCCTCCTGTGTTCCTTTTGTTTCGTTTTTTAATTATTTATAGGATTTGTGCAATGTGGATGATCCTTGCGATGAATTCACGTCCAGACACAGCCTCGAATGGAAGTTTCTGTTTTTAGATCACAGGTAAATGTCAGCGATTCCAATAACGTCAGCAACCAGCTCTGTGTTGATGGGGTTTTTTTAACACACTTGTTGTTATTTGTTACAGAGCTTCTCCAATCATCGGATATTTACCCTTTGAAGTTCTTGGAACATCTGGCTATGATTACTATCATGTGGACGACTTGGAGCTTATAGCTCAATGTCATAAGCAACGTGAGTAACCCAGACTGCTGCCGCTTCTTTCTTCGTAACCTGGAATGGACGTCTTACTGACTGAGGGCATTCATTTCACGAATACACAATAAGAACCTAGAGCCCGACAAATCTACATTTGCTCTGTACAGGCTCATTTGTACCACGGAGTACAGATGAGTCACTTTTTCTATTTTCATTGTCAACTGTTGCAAACAGTACAGAAATAGCACAGCGGTAGGCTATATAATGGATGGTGCAAGAACCACTACAGTCCATCGACGGGCGGGTCAACTGAGAATTGTCACTAGAGTCCGATAACATTGAATGGGAGGAACCCCGAACTTCATTTATTATAAATAGCCACTAGCCAAAAGGAAATGAATAGCAAATGCTGCATGTTCTCTATTGTTGTCTTTTTTTTTTTTTTTTTTTTTATGCCT